TGAAAATGCAAACAGTAAGAGCTGAAATAAAATACTATGCAAAATGAGCAAACAAATGCAGGCCGCTGAAGAAACACTCCCTTACCAGTTTAGTTCTCCAGCATTGGTTTGTTGTGAGATCAGTGCCTTCCAGAAGCCATGGGTGGCTTTGATTGTCTCAATGGCAAAGTCCTGGAATAAATGTAGAATAATTATATGACGAATATGACCAATCACAAATTAAAGCTCGTTTACAACAATTTTCTGAACAACATGCCTTGTTTTTGAACTCTCCGTTGAATGCAAACTGGTTTTCCGGTTTCCCATCAGGTACCTTGTACCTCCTGAACCAGTCAACTGTGGCCTCAAGGTAGCCAGGCTTCAGTCGCCTCACGTCACTAATGTCTATATTTCACATCAGAAAAATTGCTACAACCACATATACGCATCTCTATTCGAAGTCAAGTGAAAAGCAACGAATGTTACTTACTGTTCAAGTCCTTTGCTTCAGGGTCATCAACATTGATTGCAATGACTTTCCAGTCAGTTTCACCTTCATCAATCATTGCTAAAACACCCAGAACTTTCACTCTGATAATATCTCCATGACAGCAAACCTGCAACGATCAAGCATTGTGGGGTTTGTTTATCTAAACCAAATAGAATTGCACATATGACAGATTGCTTTACAAATTTCATAGAATATTTCAAAAGACAAACACTGATATCTATACCTTGTTTCCAATTTCACAGACATCAATCGGGTCATTGTCACCACAACACCCTGTGTCATTGTCTTTGTGCCCGGGGTCTTCCCAAGTCTGTCAGAAAAGATTTAAACAAAATCGTTGTAAAATCTAGGGGGTAAAAGACACAATGGAACTTGTAATTCACATCTACAAGAAAGGTTTTTGATTTCAGTTTGAATAATGCTAAACCGTCTCCACTAAGATCACTGGAAAGCAATTCGATTAAATGCATTTCTCCTGAAATGAAGGAAAATCTGTACAATCATATTGACAAGTCATAATAAATCATACTCACACAATTACTAAAAGAATCAATTTAAAGTTGTGTTCATGAAGATGGAATGCATATAAACTACCGTTTAAAAGGTTTGGGGTCAATAAGATTTTTTTTTTTTTTTTAAGAAATTAACACTTTTATTCAGCATGTATACATGAAATTGATCAAAAGTAACCATAAAGACATTATTAATGTTACAGAACATAAAACCGTTCTTATGAACTTTCTATTCATCAAAGAATGCTGCAGAAACAATGTTTCACGGTTTTCACAAAAATATTAAGCAGCACAACGGTTTTCAACATTGATAATAATAAGAAATGATTCTTGAGCAAGGTTTGGGGTTAATAAGATTTTTTTTTTTTTTTTAAGAAATTAACACTTTTATTCAGCATGTATACATGAAATTGATCAAAAGTAACCATAAAGACATTATTAATGTTACAGAACATAAAACCGTTCTTATGAACTTTCTATTCATCAAAGAATGCTGCAGAAACAATGTTTCACGGTTTTCACAAAAATATTAAGCAGCACAACGGTTTTCAACATTGATAATAATAAGAAATGATTCTTGAGCAGCAAATCAGCATATTAGAATGATTTCTGAAGGATCATGTGACTCTGAAAACTGGAGTAATGGCTGCTGAAAAATTCTGATTTGCCATCACAGGAATAAGTTATTTTTTTAATATATTAAAATAGAAGAACATTTTAATTGGAATATTTCACAGTATTCTACTGTATGTTTGATCAAATAAACGCAACCTTGGTGAACAAAGGAGAAAAAAAACCCTGACAAAACCTTTGAACAGTAGTGCATTATTAATGTTGTAACAAACAAATATTTAAACATTTAACTATGACTGCAGAAACTGAAGCCGGTTCTACCTTCAGTCAGTTTATTCTATGTTTAATGTGTGATCAGTGTTGATTGTGAAGGCTTACTTGAGGGATTGCTCCATAATTCCAAATATATCCTTTGTGGGGGAAAACATTGGCCACATAGCGCAAATTGCCCTTCTTCACGTCTTGCTTAATGGGGTTCAGTGGGTCTTTTGTAGCAATCTGAAAAATAAACCATAATGTTGATTTATAGAATGACAGAATATTCATGCAGACACCAATTGGTTGACAAGTCATTATTTTGTTTGAATGTCAATACACAACCAACCACAAAATGTAGGCTACAAGTCTTCTACTTTCAACATCACTTGGTCTCTGTAACTACTGTAACCATTCATGTTTTAGGTATGTAAATATATAATCTTGCAAATAAACAGCCTGTTACTATCGTTTTATTCTGTAATACTGCAAGTGGTGTAGTTTTGCACTGTCGTCGGTCATACTGTACCTCCATTTTTGCATTTGTCCATCGTGGTACTTCAACAACCATGTGGAAAATGTTCTACAGAGAAAATAAAAATTCTTTATTTTTATAAAAAAAGGAACATTTTAAGTAAGCCTAAATGTGACATTCCCATAATTATTTAACCTTCATATTACTAAAAAAAAATTATGTAAAGTGAATAAGTGATGAGAATGATTAATCAAAGTTTTACACAGGTAAGATATCAGAGCAGTCCAAAGTATTGAACGATTTAAGATGACACTATTGAAAGGGTAAAGATTGCTCCTCTTACAGACCAAGTCCCTTCACCCGATAAAGAGCTGATATACACTGTGCTGGATTGTGAAATGGCCATTCACTGCCAAAGGGGGCCCATAAGGGAGGGGGATCTACACTGAGACTAGGAGGGAAAAAAAAAACTTAGAACATATTAAATGAACATAATGTACCTGAGCTTCATCTGCATGCATAGGTATGTCATGGAATGGTGAAATGTACTTTCCATCCGAGTTCTCTGTTTAAAAAAAATAAAATAATTTGAATTGCATAACATATATCCGTACAAATAAATATTTCAAAGGCAAATATTACTGATGTTATCTGATCAGTATGATGTTATCTGGCTGAGCACCTGATTTCCATATTGAGGCACAAATAAAAATAACTAAATAAACAATGCCACCATGTCTTCTGTTTATCATCTTGAAATTGATACACCCCCCCCCCCCCCTCCTCTAGTTTTTATTATTTTTTTAAAGTGAGAAAAATGAACATGCCTGTGTGATAATTTAATGAAGTATTTCTATAAACGAGTATACCAGACTTTCAGAAATGTGGTTTGGTCAAGCTCAGGCATTTAAACTTTATTTAATTGTATGTTCTGAAGCATTTATTGACTTTTTGGAAGCAGAAATATCAAATAAACCAAAACATAACAGAATTCATCACACCACTATTCATGTTCAAAGAAAGCAACCGAGATATTCTGCACAACTTCTGACTAGGTGTTCCAAAGAAGAAGCCGCTTTATTGCATCAGTGATGACAGAATTTTTATGTTTCAGTGAATTATTGCTTTAAACTGCACAGGTTAATGATAATGATCATGCCTTGTGTGCATATAACTTGTCAATCGTGTTACTTGAGCAGGTAACTTCATGCTGCTGCTAAGGGTGAGATGTCTAATGCACAGGTGGCAACTACAATAAACAAAACACACCCAGTTTTGTGGAAAATTGTCCAATATATATGCTTTACTAACTTTATATTTTATTCACCTGAAATCATGTTAGACAATGTAGACAGTATAACAGAAAAAAAGGTATTCTATGATAATTTGTGAAAGCTATGCTATGCTATGCTATGAGCAACCTTGTATTCACCCGTCCTTCAATTACACATTTTAACGAGCTTAGGTTATACCAACAATACAAACAAATGTTGCACTGTTTGTTAATGATAACATATTACCCTTAGCTACAATGAATCAGACAATAAAATAAACTTTATGAACCGAATATCAAAATAACTTTGCACAAAGCTACAATGAATCAGACAATAAAATAAACTTTATGAACAGAATATCAACTTAATTCGTAAAATCATTACATTTATGAATTTGATTAGGTTTTAGGTCATAAATAACGCGAGGAAAAGCGACACGTGGGACTTGCGGCCCAGCCCCTTTCATCTTAATTCAATGAACTGGCCTGACCGTACAAACTTCTCATCACCAATCCTTGAAGAACAGAATTCATACTTACTGAAATAAAGCCTATAACTCAAAGTGTTAGGGTTTCCTCTTTCTTCAATGGAGAAACTCATATTGTGCGCCCTGTGTATTGATTCCGGTAGAATGTGTGTAAAAAGGACAGCAGCGACTGGCTTGAGGAAATCGCGCATGCGCAGAGACTGAACTGCGCAAAAGACCTACTGTGTGTGGATCTGATTTGTGAATCGGCAGATAGACAGTGACAGCGTTAGGTCTTGTAAAAAGACATTTGAAATATCACACTTTTAATGCGGTTAATTTTTATGTGTGCAAAGGCAGTTTTGTATATTTGCTTCTAAAACACTAAGCCTAAACCCCTAAGCTGTTTTGCTGCTCTTGGCTGGTTTAAGCTGGTTTTACAGCCTTGTCAAGTCTTACCTTTATTTTCTAACGAGTTCAACTGTAGCTGGTTAGCTGATTCCGGTAGAATGTGTGTAAAAAGGACAGCAGCGACTGGCTTGAGGAAATCGCGCATGCGCAGAGACTGAACTGCGCAAAAGACCTACTGTGTGTGGATCTGATTTGTGAATCGGCAGATAGACAGTGACAGCGTTAGGTCTTGTAAAAAGACATTTGAAATATCACACTTTTAATGCGGTTAATTTTTATGTGTGCAAAGGCAGTTTTGTATATTTGCATCTAAAACACTAAGCCTAAACCCCTAAGCTGTTTTGCTGCTCTTGGCTGGTTTAAGCTGGTTTTACAGCCTTGTCAAGTCTTACCTTTATTTTCTAACGAGTTCAACTGTAGCTGGTCAGCAAATATATATATATATATTTCTTGAGCACCAAGTCATCATATTAGAATGATTTCTGTATTTCTGTACCGAATATTAAAATGAAAATAATGACGTTTCGCGACTCCCTGGACGTCATATCCTTCCAGCGCTCTTCGCTTCCTGCCTGGCGGAGGGAGGGGACGGTGCTGACGGCTGGGAGGACGAGCTGAACGTTAAGAAAGCCTTGGCAAAGAGATAAGAAACGAGGGAAAAGGGCCCGAGGTTTTTGCCTTCCATCGGGAAAACGTATTGCTCGACTCTGATTAGCACCCCAAGCAAGTACAATGTCGTCCAGTCGTCAGTTTAGTGAGAGCAGGGCCATCCCGACCAGGACGGTGCTGATCAACGACTCAACGCAGCTACCTCACGACTATTGCACCACTCCCGGAGGCACTTTATTCTCCACCACCCCGGGAGGTAATACCCCGCCTGAGACGTGTGCTGTACGTCCAGGCTTATATCTGCAGCCGTTTGCCTGTTGTTTACATGGAGACCGTCTAATGTTAGAGAGTGGCCTGTGTTGGCCAGGAAGCCGTAACCACATAAAAGGCTGTGTCTCAAAACCTAGTGTTTAGCCTGCTTAGACAGTATTTTAGGGGTCGTAGGAACGTTTAGTTAGTTTGCATGTAGACAGTCTAATAGCGCTCAAACTGTGGAGAAGTTTAAATCGACGTTGACCAAAATATGTTGCCTACTAGGAAGGCTGCTTACTAGGCTTTTGAGACACAGCCATGTAGTTCAAAACAAAAACAGCGCCGCCTGTGCGTCTCTCTGATCAAAATGATTGGTCCGCAGTGACTGATGGACAGAATAAGACAGAACAAAAGAATGCATTACATTAAACGTATACAGAGACCGGCACGTGCAGCAGTATACACCCTACCATTTGTGATCTTGATTGCTGTCAGTCATTGTTATTGTTGTGCTTTTGGTTTTCATTGGGGCATTATACTGTTTAAAGAATTTGATTATTGTTTGTTGTGACCACTGATACTAAATTGGTCACATTAATCATCTTTGTGATTTCAACAGCATTAAACATGTCATAGTAATGTCTGTTTCACATTTCTGAGGCATATGGTCATCATTAAAGGGAAAATTCACTCAATTGTCATAATTTACTCATCCTCTTGTTGTTTTCAATCCCATATGACCTGTAATCAGATTCCTTCTGGATTATGTCATTTTATGCAGGCTGGTAGTTATGTAATAAAACTGGCTCATAACAGTTTGTTTATAATGACAATGCAGGAACTCGAATAATCTATGATCGCAAGTTCCTGTTAGACCGGCGTAACTCACCCATCGCCCAGACTCCACCAGCACACCTGCCGGTTATTCCAGGAGTGACAAGCATGAACGTCCTGAATGAAAACAAGAGGAATGAGGCTAAAAACATCAACAACCATGATGCCAAGCCAGGGCAAGGTTGGTCTTTAAAACTGACTGAACTGGAACTGTTTCCACTGGAACCTCCCTGCTTTCTGCTCGATCATCTTATGTACACAAACAGTAATGGGTCTGGTTGGAGGGTTAGACTAGTGTTAGCTCACACTATTCTCTTTTAGTGGTCATGCATGATGCAAATTATGTATTTTTTTTGTGTGTTGCAGGTGAAGATGCTCAGTTTGAGATGGACATCTAAAGAAGAGGAACCAACTTGAAGATTAATTACCTGGTACCTGTGTGCCAGTGGCTTGGCTTGTAGAAACCAATGTTGTGAGCCCTCTCCTTTAGCTCTCTCTTGCTGCTGGGTGCTGCATAATCATGGGGATAAATGACAAAAGTTTGCCCAGTGGGGCTGCTGGATCCCTTCCATCCAAAACAATTACTAGAATTTTTTTTTTTTGTTAGACCGGCGTAACTCACCCATCGCCCAGACTCCACCAGCACACCTGCCGGTTATTCCAGGAGTGACAAGCATGAACGTCCTGAATGAAAACAAGAGGAATGAGGCTAAAAACATCAACAACCATGATGCCAAGCCAGGGCAAGGTTGGTCTTTAAAACTGACTGAACTGGAACTGTTTCCACTGGAACCTCCCTGCTTTCTGCTCGATCATCTTATGTACACAAACAGTAATGGGTCTGGTTGACAAGGGTTAGACTAGTCTTCACACGTATTATTTTCTTTTAGTGGTCATGCGTGATGGTTTTTTTGTGTGTGTGTGTGTGTGTGTGTTGCAGGTGAAGATGCTCAGTTTGAGATGGACATCTAAAGAAGAGGAACCAACTTGAAGATTAATTACCTGGTACCTGTGTGCCAGTGGCTTGGCTTGTAGAAACCAATGTTGTGAGCCCTCTCCTTTAGCTCCCTCTTGCTGCTGGGTGCTGCATAATCATGGGGATAAATGACAAAAGTTTGCCCAGTGGGGCTGCTGGATCCCTTCCATCCAAAACAATTACTAGAATTTTTTATTTTAGTTTTATTTTAAAGGGACAGCAGGATTATCACCACAGTTTTGATTAAAAAAAATGAAAGGATTCTGTATTCATTCCAGGTCTTTTATATCAGTTAAAACAGTTTTAGGTAAAACAGGTGTTTGTTCAGCTCAGAACAATTGTTTTATAGAATTGGCCAAAAACAGACCACGGACCTTAATTACTACTTTAGATAGGATCACGATGCCAAACAAATTTTCTAGTTTTATTTAGAACTACCCCAAAATTTGCATTTCAGTCCACAGCCTTCTAATTTACTTTCGCCCTTTTAGCAGGTTAAATTTAAGTTATGATATCTGATCGCAATTTTGAATGACAAAACGTTTACTTTTGGTCAGAGAGAATGTTTCTGTTCAGATTTGTCCTGTTAACAGTGTGATTTGTACCTACCTTTGCATGGCGAGACACTTGAAGCGTCAACATCAGCTCTGAATTCACACTCTCTGGTTAAAGGTAGACATTACCAAGTACTGTTGAACTGATCAAGGGTTTAAGATACTTTTTAAAACAATGACAAAAAGAGAGCTGGTCTCAGGAAGCACTTGCATTATGTACCTAATAAGTACACATCTTACGGCTCCTTTCATGGGAGAAATAGCACGGTGAATATTTAACATTAATATCAGCTGTGACATCCACTGTCACTTTCCGATTACTACAATCCTTATGAACCTTGATAATCAAATCAAAGGTAGGAAAGCACTGAAGTGTTGTTTTGGTCATTTTACTATTGTCTGTCTCACAGCCACACAATGTGAACGATTCTTTTAAAGATGGATAGTTTTGTAGTGACCAGACATTCATATTTTCATTCAGATCAAACATCTTGAAAACTTGAATTGAATCTTTCCAATGCTCTTCTATGCATGTTCTTTTGGTCTGCTTCTTAGTCTAGTTTAGTTCACTCGTCAGATCATTTAAATGTTGAGTTTTTTTTGGGGGGGGGGGGGGGGGGGATGCCAAATCTTGTGGAAGATGAGAAGGTTTGATTAATATTGAAAGAGAATTAAGCAAAGAGATTATCCAAACAAAGTGACTTAAAGAGGATAAGACTTATTCTCATGACTTTAATAGTCTCTTTCTGTGCTCCAGTCATTCTCTGAAGCACAGTTTTTTCTCTCTCACAGTGATCTCTTGTGCTTAGCCTCTGTATACATGCCTTACTTTACTAAGCTGAGCAGCTGTGTCAAATACTGTTCCCTTTCATACCTTAAATAGTGGATCAGTTCATTCTGTTTGATTTCTTTCCAACTCTCAAGTTGAGGATAAGATCAAATATTGCTATGTTTTACTAGAAAACATTATATTTTTGGAAACATGTTTGTTATTATTTACTGTCTTACAGAGATAGAAAATTTTGCCAATACAGCAGTGTAATATTTGTAATGGTAATGGATTGGTTCAAATAAACGCGGTTTAGGTTTGACTTTGATCGGTTGCAGTTAACTTTCTATGAAATATTCAACACTGGTGATATCCTTGACAATTAGATGCACATTTTCATTTCCGGTTTGATTCATAGACTTTTCTAAAAGTCATATTAAAGTAATAATGATTTACAGTAAAGGGAACTTGATATACTGTCCTTCTGTAATACATTTGTCTAATCCCAGCTTGTTTCAGCTCTGAAATATGGACATTTAGTTATTTTTTTTTATTATTTTTTTAAAGATCACTGCTTACTTTTTCTTCATACTTTCCCCAGGTCTCAGAAACTTTCAGAAATGCATTTAGCTCTTCAATGGGATTTAGGATGAATGTTTGATCTAATGTGGCAGAAATTGGAAACTGTATTTTCTTTCTTCTCTGAGACCTTGTCCAATTTAATTTTTACTGGCCAATGCTAGTGGACACTGTTACTGCAAGATCAATAAAAGTTCCTTGATATCAACTTCTCTGTTTGTCTTATCTGCCAAATGCTTGTGTATTTTGCTTGAATGTCATGTAAACAATATGTTGAGTTTGAAATACTAGGTTTTGCAGCTGGATGGAGTAGTAGGGTAAGTGTGCAGCTCTTAGTTTTATGAATGCAAAATCAAAAAAAAAAAAAGGTTCTGGTCTTCTGCATGTTAGTTCCGGCTCTGGTTTTGTAAATGCTAAACATACTAAAGGGGGAGTTCTAGAAGCCCTTATTACAGTACATAAATGCCTCATGAAGAGAGCTTAGTTGCTTGGAAACTCATGGCAACACAATGTGTCCACTTCACACCAGCAGTTCCAAGCAGAGGCTATTTTCAATGCAATGAAAGACATTCGACACCGTGGCAGTGGTGAAAATTAAGAACTTGGCCGCCAGTGAGCAAAATTACCCTCTGCAATATGCAATAACTTGAGTTTGAGACATTGCGATTAACTCATCACCATTACAAGAAAATCAAGTATTGCTAATCCAGAATATTATTAAAATCGTACTGTATAAATTGATCAGTGTCCGCTTATTCATACTCCGTCCCCCACATCGCAGGCTTTTCAACATTTCAGGCATGACAGCACCGTTGCTGGGAGATGGAGCTGTTACTGACTGCTGAAAAGATGAAAATCCACCCACCATCATCCTCCTCTTTCATAACAGTTATTGCCAATGAAAGATGCAGCTGAAAGAGGGAGGTGGCCATCTCTCCTCATCCATCTGCACTGCTCTATGTTGAGAGACTCGCTCTTATGGATTGACACCTGACTGCATGTCTTTGGACCTGTGAGGGACATTAATTGACAGGACTCAAGATGAGTGTGACTTGGTCTCGGTCGTCTTCTACGTTTCATTGCCTCTCTCAAGCCCTGACAGGTGTCTGAGAGAGCAGCTATCCAGGTGAGGTAACGTTTATGATATTTACTTTCACTATTACCTTGTCTTTGCTTCACGGTAGAAATATTTGCTCTATTAAGTGAACAATTATGTATTTCTGACTTGAATTTAGCTTGGCGTAGCTAAGTTTGATTCTCTTATTAGTCAGCATCCTGTGAAGTGCTGGTGGTGGGCATGTACTTATAGGCTACTAAGTGTACAAGAGCTGATCTACATGAACTCTCAGAACATTGTGAAACAAAATGGATAGAGAATGGGATATTGTTTTTTTTATAAAACAGTTTAATAAAGTTAAAGTAAGTTAGAGTATTGCTTTTTAGACACTATATTGCCAGTTTTTTTTACTTCGAAACGAACAACGAAAGTAGGCATAGTTCCAAGCGAAGCCACATAATACTGTTTCTTTGAACGAATCGGTTGAGTGGATGATTCCATGCATTCTCCCATCGCCACCTCCTGGCGTATCAATGTAATATGCAGAAAGAGTCACTGAATAATATATAAAATATTCTTTATTTGTAAATATTCTATAGTTCATTTTATTAATGGCCAAATTAAGACATCATTTGACTGATACAGTTGCCACGAAAGCCATCATTAAACAAATGAAAATCTCAGGCTGTGGCACAAAGAATTGAAAATATGGCAAAATTAGTGAATTAACTAATTTACAATAATTTGACATTTACTTAGGATTATACAATATATTTTTTTAATTATTATTAGCAAAAGTTATTAATAAAAATCTTGATTTGTATTTATTTTTAATTTATTTTTTAGGGCCTGGTTTGACTCACATATGCATTTTAAAGGGGTCATATGATGCAATTTCAAGTTTTCCTTTCTCTTTGGAGTGTTACAAGCTGATTAAGACTCTGCCACGCCCCCCTAAAACGGCTCGTTCTAACACTCCCCCACATATCTACCTCACCATGTGGGAATATTTGCATAATGTGCCCAAATGTGCACGCAAAGAAAGAAGGCGTGGTTTCAGTAACCGCAGTTAGTGTTGAAGCAGCATGTCAGGGAGACGCTGTGTGTTTCAGTGCAAAAGCACTTTATTTGGCCTTCGACTCTGTTCCCCTTTCGGGCTTGAACTGATGGTAAAACTAATGACATTATTTACTGTCTTTACATTTATTTTGAAAGATGAAACTCGCGATTATAGTAAGGGGCGTTATATTTCCGATGAGTGCTTGTGGTATTCGGCCAATCACAATGCACTGGGTCAGCTGGCCAATCAGAGCAGACTGCGCTTGTCGGAAGGAGGGACTTTGTAGAAAACGAAGCGTTTGAGAGAGGTGGGGCATAGAGGACCTACAATAATGTACAGTATTTGAAAAATAATGTGTTTTTTGAACATTAAAGCATGTCAACATATTCTGTTACACCAAATACACAAAATAATGATCTTTAAAAAAGCATCATATGACCCCTTTAAAAACAGTGTTGCAGTGTATGTAATTGTTACACAGCCACTTATGATTGTAACTCAATTGTTTCAGTATTTTCAGATTCTGAATGTGTTGATTGAAAGCTTAACATGCATGAACAAAACACTGCGGTCGTTTTTAAACTCCTCATTTCTCAGCCTGAACAAGGATGTGCCAATCACTGGTCACTCCCACTCACTGCATATCTGTGCAACGTGGTACAAATCAATCCCGGGGCCTTTCCCATCCATATTTAGAGATTTTTTGGTTGTTGTTTTTTGTTCTGTGACCGTGATACTCAGACACAACTGGAATTTAAATCAAGCCCCTGAAAAGGGAAGCATTGCTCTTGGTGCCAGCGACTCAGTATCCCAAACTTTCAATAGACCAGCCAGTTATATAAACAAGGCAGGAATGTCCTAATGACATTCACAGAGCTATCATATATTTCCCAGTGATATCTCTCTGGCACAAACGTGATCTTATGAAGGAGGAGGGGAAAAAACAGGATTTGTTTAATTAACTGCATTATCGCTGCAATGCATGGAGGAGATTCAGTTGGCTTCATAATTCTGACTTCAAACACTTTCAGATTTCAGTAGATTCAAAGGCATCAGAAATCTTTAATCTTGCACTTTCTCTCACTTTTGGCTTTCTGTATCATGGCCTTTGCATGGGCTGTCCCTGTGAATGTCTGGAGCCGCCCACACTGTCGTCTGGTTGCCAGATGTACTGTATTTCTTTGTGGCCCCCAGAAGTGTTAGAACGGCTATCCTGTCACTGTGAGAAGAGAACCAGAGAGGCACTGAGCGAGAAAGAGAAGAAAAAAGATTAGCAAATCTTCAGTAGTGGTTGTTGAAGTTAAAACAAAAGGCTTTTATGTTAAGATTCTGCTAGCAACAGGAAACTGATTTCGTGTTGACAGGATTTACACTTAAAGAGAGACCTGAACCCTTGCTGAAACTAAGATGCAAAAACCAAAGGATGTGACCACACGCGGCACAGCTGTGAGACCGTAAGCCATTCATTTAACAATCAAATATGACAGAGATGCTATGCACATGCACATTTGATAGTCTTACATACTTTTAGGTCTGTAGAACACATTCAAAGCTTCAATAATGTGTTTTATTTGGAGGTCTTGTTGTGCATTACATGTGTTGGGGTTCCATGAAATTGAATCTCTGTGGTATTGGAGCACAAAGTGCATCTGGCTCTTTAAAAAGTGCAAATGTTAGAAATAGCCCCATGTAAAATGACTAACATGTCTGCCTGTTTACTTTATATTAGTCACAGTATAAATCCTCATTCCAGCTCTGTGCAGATTATGGGTACGAGTGCCAGTGCAACTTCCCAGGCTGCTCCGTTTGCACCTACACACCAGGCCGATCACCAAGGGAACGTCATGGCTGAGCACAGACGCTCACTACAGTCGGTGAACATTCGCAACAGCAAAGCCAAATCCATCATCACAAACAAGGTGGCCCCTGTTGTCATCACGTAAGTGACAAGTGCAACATGATGCTTTTTAAAACTGTCCGTAAGGGCACTCATATGCACAAAATGTCACGCCTGTGTGTTACTCTTTGAGAGAAAACTATTGTAGATACTGTCAACAACCTCACTTTCACGTAAAGGGATAGTTCACCCAAAAATGTTTAATCACCATCAAGTTGTTCCAAACCTGCAACACAAAAGAAGATATTTTGAAGAATTTTGGTAACCAAACAGTTGACAGTAGCCATTGACTTCCATAGTATGAAAATAAAAAATACTATGGAAATCAAGCTTTTGGTTGCTTTAAAATATATTTTGCTCTCAACAGAAGAAAGAAACTCAAACAGGTTTATAAAGTGGAGGGTGAGTAACTGATGACAGTATTTTAATTTCCTTTCCATCCCGTTAAGGGACGAGACAATGTATTATCAGTTGTGGGTTTTTCATGTATGACATTTTGATAGATGTTATGAGTTTTGTCTCTATACAGAAATAACTGCAGGGAAGAGTTTCAGATTCATGACAAGATCCAATCTGCCAACTACTCAATGGGAAGGATATCTGACCTGTTGCCGGAGCACTACCTAGTGCTGGTATGTTTCACTTTTTGAGATTTAACTAAATATTTAGAGCTTAATACTTGAAAAAGCCTGGAGATATAATGGAAAATGCAGTAATGAGCAGGAAATGTAGATCAATTATGGAAATTTCTTGTCATTTATGATGAAATAAGTTTTATGACTTGCTTTTATATTGTCCAGGGGGAGTTTTTTATGGTACAGGATGTATACAATAGAGCTGATGTCTTAAATACTACAAAAATCCATGGGGCCCCCAACTTCCGCAAGGTCAAGGGAAACTACCCCCTTTTTGGAATGGGCCAACCTAGCCTGAATGGTTTCAAACAGGTCCTCCAGAGATTGCAGATTGATGGCTGTGAGGTCAGTGAGTGCTTCTTGTCCTTGCCGAGTAGGATGAAAGGCAGTGAGGCACTTTCCATGAATACAATTCACTTTGGGGTCCTATTACATTTTTTCCCTTTAAGAACTATTAGATTTGTTAGCTATTATGTTATTATGTAGCATAAAATTAATCTACACTCTTAAAAAATAGGAACCATTTGCAGCAATGCCATAGGACAAACCATTTTGGGTTCACCAAAGAACCTGTCAGTGAACAGTTAAGAACCATTTTTTTTAAGTGTGGAGAACATTTTTATAATCTAAAGAAAGTTTTGTGCAATGGATTGATTCCATGAATATTAAAGGTTTTTCATAGAACCATTTATGCCAGTAAATAACCTTTATTTTTAAGAGTGAAGCATGTGAAGTAACTAGTTTGAAACAATCAAATGTTTGTATTATCCTGTAAAATCGTGATTTTGATCTGTCCCATCTCAGAGGTCTTGACCACCTTGACTACCATATTTTCTGCAGATAGACCTTCAAATAATGATATCAGGTTAATTGCTGTTTATCCCACAAAATATGTGAACAGGAGGTGATTTTCATCTGTGTGAGGGAGGAACCAGTGGTCTTCTTCCGCTCAGATGGAGACTTTATTCCGTACACTCCCAGAGGAAGAGAGAACCTACAGGAGAACCTGCATGACCTAGACAGAGAGCTCAGCCCAGAGAAAATAGAGCTCTCCATCCGGAAAGAGGTCTGTTATAGAGCAGAACTAGTTGTATAAGGAGGATCGCTTGCCATCCTTTTATGGTGAAATGTTGAAAGAGGTCACTGTGTCTGTTCCATGTCAGGTTTTAATTCTCTGATATTTTCTCCAGTTGTGTGACTTTGCAAAGCTGAGTGAAAATATGTTCTATGTCTATAATGACATTGAGCATTTTAAAGATGAACCTCAGCAGGTTCAGATTCTGTCAGAGGAGGACATTCATGTCACTGAGGAGGTCTACAAAAGACCACTTTTCAGTCAACCACTGCACAGGTAATTCCTCATATTTTATGACAGAATAAAATCTATACTGTTCAAAAGTTGGGGTTGCTTTTTTATGCTTTTGAAAGAAATTTATTTGATAAAAAATACAATAAAATGTAATATTTTTAAAATATTATTACAATTTTAATTTTAATATATGTTAAAAGTTTATTCCTGTGATGGCAAAACTGAATTTTCAGCATAATTACTCCAGTCTTTAGTGTCAAATGATTCTTCAGAAATCATTCTAATATGATGATTTGCAATCTCATTTACAATGTTGCATACAGTTATTACATTATAAATGTGTTTACTGTCACTTTTCAATCAATACATTTTAATGCATCCTTGCTGAATTAAAGCATTTTATTGACCCCAAACATAAAAGGCATTTGTGACTCAAATGGAACCCTAATGATAAAGGCAAGACTTTTGTGATATTTAAAAAAAAAAAAAAAAGCAGAAATCTGTTGTAAATTAATCCCTGGCGAAAAGTAGTGTCCATAGATGAACAAAAACATGCATATATGAATCAAAATGAATCTTAAATTTTAGATTCTTTTAGTTCTGGGTATTTTTTAATTACAAATTTTGATGAATTTAGATATTACAGATTGCCGCTCCCAATGGAAGGGGCCCCACTGGAGGAGACATTTGATGCCTTTGTTAATATACTCAGGGTAAGATCTCCATGAATATTATATATCTTTTTTTTCTCCCTCTACTTTCTAAGTTTAAAATAACTCTGTGTGAGCTCTGGTTTATTTATATCTGATGATTTGTGTCACTGAACCAATCATTCATCCCAAGAACCCAGAACTTTGAAAACCGTATGAACACAGACAAAAGTTATAAATGTTAACGTAAGACCATGAAAAATGATTTCAGGTATCCACTCATGTTCAGGAAATGGCAAGATTTTTAAATTCCAGTTTCTTCATCTTTTCCATCTTGATTTCATTTTCCCTTTATCAGAGTTTGACAGCCAAAAGTTAATGTGTGTTGTTGTTTGAGGTTACAGAAATATATACAGACATGTATATTGTGCTAAATCATTGTTATTCACTTGGATTCCTTTTAGTTTGGACAATGTGTTTTTACAAATTTACCCACCTTTGTGTCCACCAGGTGACCCCAAACCTCTCTTTGATGCGGGACAGCTCCAGACCTCTGCCTGCACTGCTTTTCAGCTGCCAGGTGGGGGTGGGACGCACCCATCTTGGCTTAATCCTGGGAGCCATAGTCTTCCATCACCTGCAGGGGGCATCAGAGAGCCCCAGGTACATGGTACAGTGTTAGTGCAATTTCAATTACCTTTCTCTGTTTAAGTTCTACTTACTTTTCATCTCTTTCACAGGCAAGAGATACAGAAGAGTGAACACAAATTGGATTTCCAAGTGATTAAGTTGCTAATCAGTCGCCTACCTAAAGGTCATCAAGTCCTTGATGAGGTTAGAATGTATTAAAGATGTTTGTAAAAGTCTTGGTTCATGAAATAGTCTGATTGCTTTCAAATAAATAGAAACTGAGACTTAAAAAATATATACCATATTACGATTTATTGAATGAAAAGTTTTACATAAACCAAGTGTTTTTTATGTATATATATACCACAGGTTGATGATGCTATTGCCATGTGCTCTGAGATGCATAGTATAAAAGATGCTGTGTATGAAAACAAACTGAAGATTGAAGGCATTGGCGAAGATGACCAGATTCAAGTAAGTCCCGACTGAAACATTATTGTGTCCATGTTGTCAAACTGCTATAAAATGGTTGCTTTAATGTAAAAATGAGCGTTTTGTTAAATGAAGGTTACATATTTGTGACATTTGTGTCATTAACACATTTTTTTGTTTGCAGGGAAACAGCACAAAAGGCTATTTTCTGCAAAGTCTTGAACGCTATGTGTACCTCCTAGTATTTAATGCATATCTTCACGATCAGGTATTGCTGACTATATGCTACCATATTATTATATTTAAAAGCAGTTATTTTTGTCAGTATATGCCATTATTTTAATAATTTTTCCATTGTCTGCTGTATCTCTATCTCTGTAGTATCCACAGGCATTTCCTCAGAGCTTCAGTCAGTGGCTGTGTATGAACGCTTGGATCTACAGGCTGCTGGCCAGCATGGATAGCTCTGAACTCTCAGCACCAGCCAGCCTTATAACTGATGGGATTCGAGTTCTGGTAAGAGTGAACAATTTCTGGTTCATAGAACATTCCCAGAACATTAGTTTATGGTTTTAGAAATCCTAAAACATAAAAAAAGTTCCTAGAGTGTTAGGAAGTGCCTTCCCTAAAACATAGCCAAAGGGGAACCGTACAGTACTTTAAGGAAATGTTTTGTGTTTGCTGTTATGACGTAGAAATTATATATTATAACAGATAAAAATTACATAGTTATACTAGTGTATGTTCATATGCACCAGGTTATATATTTTTTTTACTTTATCCTTGAATAGTCCTTTTCTTCCCTGATTATATCTGATATGCCAGTCTTTCTAGCCCTGCTCTTATCAGAGTCGAGCTGTGACCTCCTCCTCCTGCAGCTCAGCAGGTTCTCCTATAGGCATGCGCATTATGCCCATAATATCTTCAATTTTTTTGAAAGGTGTCCAGTCAGTTTTTAGCAACAGATCTGCTCAGTACAGCCAAAGAGATGAAAGTGGCCAATTTCAGACGTGTTTCCAAAATGGCTCTATATGGGATGGCCCAGCCAAACTCTGAGGTAAATCCTTTCTAAAGCTCATTTCAGCAGCCCAAGCTCCTAAATTGTGGCTGTCTGTAAATTCATATAATAAATAATCAAAGCTTGTTTGTGCCCATTTCAGGCTCTGGCTGTCGTGATGTCCTACCTGACAGACCAGAGGCGAGGGCACTCTACAATTCTCTGGCTGAATCTGCAGGAGGAGCTTGTGCTGGAGGCAAACGGACAAATGTTCACCCCACGAGAGCCAGGCTGTCTGGAACAGCTTATTCCAGTCTGTGTTCAACATCCACAGAAGCTCCAGGTGCAATTCTGTCCAGGGCAGATCTGTTATTAAATGGAATTGAGGAGGGTTGTCTTTCAGTGGCTTTATATGACTGGGCCGGACGAATTTGTTATAGGTACAGCTTGCATAGTGTGTGCAATGTACAATGCAGCACATAAAAAAAGTTCAATGCAGTGTGCACTGTGCAGTATAAGCTATCGGCAACATATCATGTGTATTTGAAATGCATAGTGGTACGGATTCTGATTCATCCAAGTGACTCAATTCTGTTTACCAAAAAGATATGTAACAGATTATGTCCATAGATATATATAGTTATACTGTGATACACTGTTACAAAAGTTTAGAGTTGATAAGATTTATTTATGTTTTTGAAGGAAGCCTCTTATGCTTACCAAGACTGCATTTATTTGATCAGAAATATAGCAAAAACTGCAGTTGTGAAATATTATTACAATTTAAAATAACTGTTTTCTGTTGTAATATATTTAGAATGCAGTTTATTCCTGTGATGGCAAAGCTGAATTTTCAGCAGCCATTACTTCAGTCGTCAGTGCCCTTTAGAAATCATTCTAGTATGCTGATTTGGTGCTCAAAAACATTTCTTATTATTATCAAACAGCTGTGCTACTTAATTTTTTTAATAAAAAGTTCAAAAGAACAGAATTGATTTGAAATAGTCAATTTTCATCGATTTAATGCACACTTGCTTAATTACAGTGTTTAATAATTAATGTATTAAAAAAATCATACTGACCCAAACTTTTGTCATTGAGTCAATTAGTTAATTTTAAAAAATGCTGAGTCAACCAAAATTATTATCCTTTATTAAAATTACCATGCGGTTTATGCAAGTGAATGAGAACGAACGTTCACTTAAATGATTCGTTCAAAAAGACACTGAATACATCTGTGTGCAAAATCAAGATCTACTCATCAAAAATTGCACTGGAGTGTAAATACATTGTGACCAGTGTTGGGCTAGTTACTCAAAGAATGTAATATATTACTCATTACTAGTTACTCATTTCAAAAGTAATATTGTTACTTTACTTAGTACTTTCTGGCAACAGTAATTAGTTACACTACTAGTTACATTACTTTTTCTTCACGCTCCACAGTAGTTGTAACTGTGTATCTTCCACATAAAATTCTTCCAGAATATAACTAACATATTTCTGTCTCATCATTTGACCAAAATCCACATTGGATCGCAGTCAGAAGTTATTACAAACACTCAATAGTGATTGATAGTGACATTCAAGTAGAAGTGTTGTATTAATCTCATTAATTGTCATGTGTAGCTTGAAGTTAATTGTCATTTCTCCGTTACCCATATACGATTATATTTCATTAAGTTTGTAAGAAACTGTTTCATTTTCCAAAAATATTTTTTAATTATAGTAATATAATGTACAACATGCTGATCAGAGGGGTGTGGGTGGGATGTAATGCCAGAGTAAAGTAAAGCCACAACTTACACAACAGTGTTCAGATCATTTACCTGACAAAATCAATATAATGCAATATTTATATCTGCTGAATGTAAGCTTTTCCATATTCCAAGCTTGCCTGGTGCACTGGGGACATCACATGCACGTGCAAGTCGTGAAAATTATGAAAATAAATCTAGGAATTATTTGATTGTTGGATTTTAAATCAGCGGGGTCGAGGCATCAAAAGTAACTAAGCTGTTTTATGGATGGTAACTGTAATATTATTACTGAAATTGTATTAGTAATTAGTTACTAGTTACTGCAAAAAGTAATATTATTACAGTAACTAAGTTACTAGTTACTAGTTACTGCCCAACACTGATTGTGACACAGTGACCGTCATATTTTAGGCCATTTTATTTATATTTTATTGCACGAGTAACTAAATGTTTGGTCCATGTAAGGTCTTGTTAAATGTTTTTCATTGTTACAGGTACACATTTTTACAGGTAGTAGCTTTTGATTTCATCATAAATTAAGATGAATTGAGATGGAAGTTTTTTGATTTTCCACAGGAAATGGAGCTGGCACTGAAGCAGGACATCCTGAGGTGTGAGAAATGGCTGGAGGTGATTACAGAGCAGGATAAACAGATGAGGATGTTTAAGAGTTGTCACACCATTGAGGAGCTCTTTGTCCATCGGAAGAGTGTTCATCCAGTTCTCAGCTACCAACGGATTCCCCTGTCTGACTGTTGCGCACCTAAAGAAGAGGCAAGTCCGTACACTATAAGAATGGTATAGATTTGACGCTTTAGTTGAAATGTTGTTGTTCTCCCTCAGGTTTTTGACCAGTTGTTGGAGGCCATGAAAAGCAGTCTGGCTGAAGACACCAACTGTGCTCTCATCTTCAACTGTCATGATGGGAAAGACCGAACTACTGCAGCCATGGTCATCGCCACTCTCACCCTGTGGCACATTAATGTAGGTCATATTCAGCTAGTGGAGGGAGGAAATGAGAACTAAATTATTCACCCTCAGGACATTGATTAGATAGAGGAAAAATGTTTAACCCCTTAAACCCGAGGTGTCCCGAAAAAAATTAAAAATCAAATTACTAAGCAACCCCTGAATGGAATAACACAAAATAGGTATTATTTTAAAGCTTAGAAAATATTTTGACCAACCCCCTCCGCGATAATATTACTAATCATATTTTTCAAACCACTGCCTTGATCAACAAAAAATGGATATCATTTGAAAGCTCAGAGTCTGAGCTTTACAATGCATGTAGCCGCTTTGATTTGAACTCCAAAGTAGTTCAGAGTTATTTGCTGATAAATGACAAAAAAAAAATCATAATTTACAAAATGTTATTTTTTGTGCCATGTACTCTAATATGTCAAAAATATCATACAGCTCGTATAGTCATGTGTCATATGTCATTTGAAAGGTCTCATCGAGAATAAAACAAGTATAATTTTTTGGGGCTTTGACTAAACTTGTGTGAGGCATTACTTCAAATTCAAAATAACAATTTCAAAACTGTAAAGGGCTAAGAAAAGGGCTACATTTGTTCCAAGTGCTGTAACTTTTGATTACTTCATGATATCACCACAAAATGTAATTCACATACAGCACACATGTTGGGGAACATCACCAAAAAAATAATATAATAATCTTATAAGAGTGATAAGAGTCAAATAAGAGTGATATGAAAATTTTCCCTTGACCACACTCATTTTTCTTACATTTTATCACCTATTTCTCAGCATGAGAATATTCAAATGCAAAGATTTTTTTCCCCCCATAAAAATATAGAAAAATTTATATCAGGTGATACCTACCTTTTGACTCTCCTTGCTACGGTCTTGGAGTTATGAGTCATTATTTTTGTGCATGGCAAGAGCTAAACAAAAAGGCCTGTTTTGTTACACAATACTGTAACTTTTGGATACTTTAAATACTTTTGGATACTTTATTTTCCTTCCACCTCATTTCTTTCCTGAGATATTGAATGTCAAATAAGACATATTATTTATATATATTATTCAGTTTTTTTCCACTGAAAGTACTATCAAACAATACCAACTAAGCCTCTAAGTGCCGTTGGAAATTTTCTTCTAAAATGAGCATTTTAATCAGGCTTCTATGTGTAGGTTCAGTAATTTTACTTGAATGGCAATGAATACGGTTTTTTCATTGCCATTAAAGTAATATATATATATATATAAACTTGTTGTTGCAACTATGTTGTTCATTTGAATAATTTTCTATGTGTTTTGCATGCATAAACTTCAGCATGAAAAGTCGACTGTAAAAAAGGTAGTTAATAGGACAGTTAGTCAGTGCTTTTAGGAGCCATGTTGAATAATAGATTGCTTCTAAAGCAATTGTTTTTGTACCTAACATAGCCTTGAGAAGTCTATAGAGGTACAATTTTCTCATTTGTGCTAATGCGCTCAAAGGGACTGAGAGATTATCAATGCCCATTGCAGCGCATCAGCCTAGAGCATTCTGAATGTGTTTAATTTGAGGCTGAAAAACATGTTTTTATTCTACAGTGAAGACCTTGATAAACAGCTGAGTAAATGAGCAGAGAGCTTTCAAAAGACTGCTTTGAAAAGCCCTGCAAATATTTGTTAGGGTCCAAGACTTTATAGTTAGAATGTTCTGAGGTACTGGTATATTTTTATCATGTTACAGTTGCTCATCAATAGCTCAGTGTTTCTGTACTAATTCATTTGCACCAAACTTTAAGCCTCTTTAAAGCTAATCAGCAGGGACTGGTGAATATTGCCCATGCCACACTGCACATGTAAGAACCTGTGTTCAATACAAATGCTCTGTACTATACTAAATCTAATAAAACTTTTCATTTGAGCATGTGGCAGTGTACCAGTGCAAGGCCTGTTACTCAGAAATTTTGCATGTATCTAGCTAGCTGCCTCATTCTGAATGAATTGCGTCATCTGAAGCCCTTGATTGACTGGGAATTTGTGTGAGTTGCTTGTTATTTTGCAAGTGTTTTATTTCCTCTTGATTTGTCACTTAATTAACATTATATACAGTGGGCTCAAATATCAGACCACACTAAAAGTCTGGTCTGGGCATAATTTTTTCCATTTTGAGAAACTGTGAAATTAAATGCACATACATTTTTTTTTAAATTAATCATTAATTTTTAATGAAACTTGTATCAAATCAGAGGTATTTTCACTGGTGGTCTCAGACTTTCAGACCTTACTGTAAAATATTAAAGTTCAGTGAAAGTGGTCAAGTAGGCACTTTACCACTGTGAAAGATATTTGACATATTCCAACTGGTCTCAGACATGGCCTGGCAGGTAGTGCACTTGCGATATAATAATAATATTATTGCTTTTTTCAAACATATTTTTGTAAATTATCTAATAAAAAAAAAGTAGAGGTTCAATAGATTACTATGGTACACAATATGTTAAAAGCAGAAATATGTAATATGTATATAGTCAACCAAGCAATGCAAATATTGATGTAATCACTTGTTTGTGTAGATCTCAGAAGGCTGCTTATTATTATATTATTATAATCTTAAAAAAATGAACGAACAGCTGATTATGTCGTGCCATCAGCATTTTGTCAAAAATAAGAGGGAAACTAGAGGAATAACAATGAGTTCACTGGCATTTCTTCCTCTTTAGATTAAGATGGCTAAATCAGAGGCTGATGCTCAGGGGTTGCGGTTAAGGAGCCTGCAGTACCTCGAGCGTTACATTTATCTCATCCTGTTCAACTGCTACCTCCATCTGGAGAAGAAAGACTCCTGGAGGCGATCCTTCAGCCAGTGGATGTACCAGGTGAAGCCTGACTCACTTGCTTACTTTAGGGGAAAAAACATATCACCTGCAAGCTGTTCATGCTTATGTAATTGTGTATTTTAATCGATTAACCGTGGAATAACAAAAATGACAAAAATAACTAAAATTAATATAAAAAATATACATATAAAATACAAATGATTTTATTTCAAAATAAAATTTAAATGTTTTTTGTTCCAAAAAAACCCATATGTGATCCTGGACCACAAAGCCAGTCTTAAGTCACTGGGATATATTTGTTGCAATAGCCAAAAATACATTGTATGGGTCAAAATAATAGATTTTTCTTTTATGCCAAAAATCATTAAGATATTAAGTAAAGATCATGTTCCATGAAGATATTTGGTAAATTTCCTACCGTAAATATATCAAAACTTAATTTTTGATCAGTAATATGCATTGCTAAGAACTTAATTTAGATAACTTTAAAGGCAATTTTCTCAATATTTAGATTTTTTTTGCACCCTCAGATTCCAGATTTTCAAATAGTTGTATCTTGGCCAAATATTGTCCTATCCTAACAAACCATACATCAATGGAAAGTTTATTTATTCAGCTTGATGTATAATGATGTATAAAATGGTCCAGGGTCACATATATTAAAATCAGAATCAGAATCAGAAGAGCTTTATTACCAAGTATGTTTACACACACAAGGAATTTGACTTGACGACAGGAGCTTCCAGTGTAGAAGAAAGTACAAACATAGTGCAGACATACATGATAGTGCAGACATACATAGGAATAACACAGTAGGGATGTAATATAAAACTAATATAAAAATATATACAGTATATATAAAAAAAAAACATTAAATAATGTACTATATACAGAAATAGAAGTATAGGAAAAAATTTAATTGTTTAGATAAATGTACAGATATGTTATTAGTGTGCAGATATGTTATTTACAAAGTGTGCAGTTTAATATAAATATGTCAGATAACTATGTTATTAAGTTATGAAGTCCTGACTGTCCGTTGTAGTCTCTTGATGTCTGATTTTGTAGCTGAACCAAACCAGACAGTTATGGATGAACACAGGACAGACTCAATGATAGCAGAGTAGAACTGTTTAAGCAGCTCCTGTGGCAGGTTGAATTTACTCAGCTGGCGAAGGAAGTACAACCTCTGCTGGGCCTTTTTTGCAATGGAGTCTATGTGAGTGTCCCACTTCAGGTCCTGAGAGATGGTGGTGCCCAGGAACCTGAATGACTCCACTGCAGCCACAGTGCTGTTCATGATGGTGAGTGGGGGGAGTGCAGGGGGTTTTCTCCTGAAGTCCACGATCATCTCCACAGTTTTGAGCGTATTAAGCTCCAGGTTGTTATAACTGCACCAGGAAGCCAGCTCTTTAACCTCCTGTCTGTAAGCAGACTCGTCTCCGTCCTTGATGAGGCAGATGACTGTAGTGTCTTCTGCGAACTTCATGAGCTTGACAGAGGGGTCCTTTGCAGTGCAGTCATTCATGTAGCGAGAGAAGAGCAGTGGGGAGAGCACACATCCCTGGGGGGCGCCAGTGCTGATGGTGATAGTCCTGGATGTG